TGAGACAGGAGAGACATGGAGGGGCTGGAGCGTGTGCAGGGAAGGGAAGGGAGCTGGGAAGGTTCTGGAGGAGCAGGAGCAGCTGAGGGAGCTAAGGGGGCTCATCCTGGAGCAAAGGAGGCTCAGGGGGGACCTTCTGGCTCTGCAAGTCCCTGACAGGAGCAGGGAGCTGGGGGGGATCAGGCTCTGCTCCCAGGGAACAAGGGACAGGAGGAGAGGGAACGGCCTCAAGCTGTGCCAGGGGAGGGTCGGGTTGGACATCAGGAGGAATTCCTTCCTGGAAAGGGTTCCAAACATTGGCAGGGACTGCCCAGGGAGGTTTGGAGTCCCCATCCCTGGAGGTGTCCGAGGAAGGCCTGACTGTGGCACTCAGTGCTCTGGGCTGGGGGACAAGGTGGGCATCAGGCACAGGGTGGACTCCATGGGCTGGGAGAGCTTTTCCAACCTCAGGGATTCTGGGATTCTCTGAACCAGGGAGAATGGAAAGTGGTCTTTGTACTTTGAGGGTTTCACTTAAAACTACTTATTTTTCAACGTGCAAGATTTTTAGAACTTGAGTTCCCTGAATCCCATTTGCCACCTTCCTAAGCAGACACAGGACAGGACAAGAGGGAACGGCCTCATGCTGTGCCAGGGAAGGGTCAGGTTGGACATCAGGAGGAATTTCCTCATGGAAAGGGTTCCAAAGTTTGGCAGAGGCTGCCCAGGGACGTTTGGAGTCCCCATCCCTGGAGGTGTCCAAGGAAGGCCTGGCCGTGGCACTCAGTGCTCTGGGCTGGGGGACAAGGTGGGCATCGGGCACAGGGTGGGCTCCCTGATTCCAGAGATCTTTTCCAACCTCAGTGATTCTGTGAATAAACCTTTCAGGCAGTACCAGCTTAATGCATGAGGACAAAGGCACTGTCTTGGTGCTGTGAAGTCCATAAGTGACCTTCACCCCCAAAACCAACAGCACTAAGACAGTGCTGGTTGGAAAAGCTGGAGGCTCAGGAAGTCCTGTGTGTGCAGAGTCCATCCTTTCTGAGGATGCAGGAGTGGGAAAAGTGCTGCTGCTGCTTCCAAGTCTGACTTGCAGGGAGTGAAAAGAAAGACCTGTGTCTGGTCATGTTTAGAGTATTGATTATTGTCTGCCCTTATTCCTGAACTCTGCTGGAGGATAGTTCTGGATAGACTTGGACCTGAATTCACTGTTTCCTCCTCTGTGGCTTCTTCAGCTGCTTGTAAATCTTTTTTTTTGGTGCTCAAAAGCAGTGGGTTGGCAGTTGATTGCCCCCACTGAAGCTTTTAAATGTTCTTCCACACACCCTCTCCAGTGGGTGTGGGCAGCAGGAATCACCCCAGTGGGATACTGGGAGTTGGAATGAGCTTCCAGACTTTGGATCCTGCTCCAGTGTCTTGGGGAGAAACTCCAGTCTTTGAGTTACTTTGGAGAAGTTATTGTAGCAGGAGCTCTGTATCCTGGGACATGTTATGGTTTAAAAATCCTCTGGGAATGATAATGTTTAGAAAATTCTGTGCTTTTTATTACTTTGAAGACTGACCTTTAGAGTCTTGGAAAACTTAAAGGGAGATGTTGATTCTGGAAAAAAAGCAGCTGGTTCCACAGAGGGGAAGAAAAATGTACCTGCATTGGTTGCTCCTGTTGTAATAATCTTTGGGTTTTTTTAAGTTTCCTGTAATTTCCAAAATTATTTTAAGGTCCTCCTTTTGTACCTCTTATTTTAATAAATCTGAACTAATTTAATTTATAATATAAGACTGAGCTCATGTTGCTCTGCTGTCCAAATAAGAAATCATGTTTGTCTCCATCTTTGGCTTCCAGGCACTGATATCTTGGCTAGTTTAGGTCCAGTGTTTAGAGTCAACACTGAGGTTGTTGACTTTATGAAATGAAAATTATTCACTAGAACAGCCTGATAACTAAACCTCTAGAATTTACTTAGAGCTTGTTTTGGATGTAGAGATTCTTTGCAGAGCTTGAAGTGCCATGTCGAGCTCAGACCGTGAAAACCTGATGGCAAAGGAAGAAAAAAGTGTTGTGTTAATAATAATAATATTGATATTTATTTGGGTTGCTCAAGTGTAGAAAGAAATGGTGTGAAAAGGGATTTAAATCACTTTTTTCTCTGTATTGTTGTTGTATCAGGTGAGGATGAACTCGCCAAGCAACAGGTGAATTATTTCAGAGCTTGTGTTGTGTGTGGTCATAAAATACCACTGCAAACAAATTTAAACCCGGGCTGGGCTCAATGGAACTTTTCTCAGCTTCAGAAAAAATATCACAAATCTTAACACGGCGGGTTGATGCTTTGAAACGTGGCCAAGTTTTCCCTTCTTGATAGCTTTGTTTCCAAAACATTGACGCGTAATAGAATCCTCTGCCGCTCTTTGTGGTTTTCCACTTGTGTTTCCCTGTTTATTTGGGCTGTTTGTGTCTCCCTTGGCCTGTGAGAAAGGCCCATAAAGGGACCAGCAGACAAACAGCAGAACTTTGGCTGCCTTTTTCTGCTGTAAACAAACAAATCCAGAGCAGCTTCTTCAGGAATTTTTATTTTTACTCATTTACAGCAAAGTTGGTGATGTTTTTTTTAAGAAGAAAGGTCTGCAGAATCTCTTCAGTGATTGTCTCCAGAATGCTTTGAGGTGGGAGGCTGAAAGGCCTTTTGTAAATATGGATTATTTTATTAACAAAGGGATAATTTCTGATATTTACTCAAGCTCAGGCACGCTCTGGTGAAAGAGACTGAATAATTTCCTTTCCCCTGATCCCAGATTTAGGGTTTCTTGTGCTTCCATCACTGGACTTCCCAGGAGAAGGCATCTCACTTCCAGGGGTGAGATCCTTGACAGAGTTTAACACAAAGCAGCTCTGGAATCCTGTAAAAAATGGGATTTTATGAGCTCTGGGGCTCTGCTTTGGGAATTTTGGGTCCTCCCTGGTCTCTGTGGTGTTGCTTTTCAGCAGCTCTGAGGGCAGAAATCTGTGGGATGAAGGAAGGAAGCCCCAACAGGAAGGAATGTCCCACTCCTGCTCCCTTTTGGTCCCTGGGGAGAGTCAGTTTTTCCTGCTGTGTCAGGGAACACGTTTGTTCCTGGGGAGTTGTTTCCTGTAGGAGGATCCACTGGAATTACTGATGGGATTCACCTTGGCTTTTTGGTTGTGGCCAAGAACAGAGAATAAAGGGAACCTCAAGGATGGATGAATTTGGAAGAATTAATGTTTCCTGAGTCAGCTGTCCCAGGACAGGACTGATCCATCTGGGAAAAGCCAGGGAGCACAGTTAGGAAGTGAAGTTTTACTTTAATAAAGCTGCTGCTGGATCCCACTGAGTCCTTCTTTCTCCTAAAGGAGAAATAGAGGATTTATTCATAACAATAAATCTGGAAGTAAAGAGTGTCCGGGAATCTTAATATTTGCAAAGCCCGCTATTAAAATTCCCGCTTTGGGAGCTTTTCCTTCTTTTCCCTGTGCCTTTAGGGAACGTGTGAGAGGATCTTCAATTTGCCCTTGTGCTGAGGAGAAATGACCCTTTATTTGCTACAAGAAAACAGCTCCTGGGACTGGGACTTCCAGAGTGGGATAGTGGATATCAGGGATGGGAAGTGCAGCACTTCCTCAGCGCACCCACCTCCAAAAGGTGCTGATTCCTTCTTGGATCAGAAGGATCCCTCAAGTTCCTCAAATTAAATGTACTTTGTAAGGTCAAACTGTTGTCACAGGAGAGCAGGAGCTTTTGTTGTTTGAGTGTGCTGCTGATCACAGGGGCTTTGGCCGTTTCTTTGTAAAAACCAGAGGAGATAATGAAGCGACTTTGGCTCATCTGCTGGAGGACAACTTGGGGAATATTTTATTTTATCGCTGAGAGGACAAAACCCCCTGTTTGTATATTGATTTTTCTTAACCTTTTGTTTTGTTGGGAGCTGCTGGAGGCAGCTTTTTGTGCTCTGAAAACAAGCAACCTGGCATTTAGCAAATGCTGGTTTATTTTTTCCTTTTGAGAGAGAGAGAGAGAGATCTTGTCAGATTTTTTTTAATTGGTGAACGTGTCTGCCTTTTATTTATTGTTGGGCGTTTTTCTTGCCAATTAAACGTTGCTGGTTTTTAAAACTGGCCTTTAATAGCTGCTTTAACTGGGGGAAAACAAACTTTAGCAGTGACTCCCTGAGACCTCAGTGAAATCTTTGTGCTGAGCTTCCACACGACAGATCTCTGCCCAAGTTGAGATCGCAGGCAAAAAAACCCCCGTGTTTTATTTCTCACAAGTGAAATTTTATTATTTATTTTTTTTTAAATGCTTTTGGCTGTTATTTTCATTATGTGTGAACTTTGCTGAATGGATTCTAACTAATGACCTGGCATTTGGTTCTTCTCTGTGTCTGAAGCAACAGAGCCGAGCTCCCAGACTGTGATGGGGGGTGAGGAAGATGGATTTAGGATGTGGAGCCCGTTGCCCTCGCTGTTCCATTTGGGAAATAGCTGCTACAAGGAATAAAAACCCAGTTATTCTGATCTGTAATGGTCTCTTAAACCCACTTTTATTGCTAATGGTGTTTTGCAGCGTTGTAAAGGTAGAGAAAAGCAGTTCAGGAATTCGCCGAGAATAAATTGGACGTGGCAGAGCGTGGCTGTAAACTATAAATTTCCTTGAAATGGTCTCGAGGCACTTTGTAGAAAATGTTTGCATGTTTGGTTGTGGTTTGATGGGTTACATTTAAAAAACAGGTGAGGGAGCACGTGGGAATACACAGCCACATCCAGAGGGACAGTGGGCCTGGGGAAAAGCTCAAGGGACTTCATTTTTCAGCTCTTAATTTAGCTTTGGACAGTGCCCTGTGCAGAGCTGGAGTTCAGCCTACCCTGGAAAAAAAACTGTGAGGGAGAAATAGTTGATTTTGTTATTAAATGATTGCAAATTCAGTGGGTTTAACTCTTCGGAAGGTGTTGCTTTCAGCAACTCTTCATTCTGGTGCAGGATTGAAACCTTCAGTTAATATTTCCCAAGGCTCTTGCTCGTTCCTGCTGTGATGCCAAGGGTGGGCTGATGGTGCAGAGTCCTAAAATACTCTTCATCCTTTAATCATCCAGGTGACAGGTCTGAGTAGCACTGTCCACCTTTCCTCTTGCAGGTTTGAAAATACTGATCCTTAGGACCACATCCAAAAAGACAAATACGTGTGACTGGGCCTGGGGAAAAACTCAAGGGACTTCATTTTTCAGCTCTTAATTTAGCTTTGGACGGTGCCCTGTGCAGAGCTGGAGTTCAGCCTACTCTGAGAAAAAAGTGTGAGGCAGAAATAGTTGGTTTTGTTACTAAATAATTGCAAATTCAGTGGTTTTAGTGTTCCCACCTGGTGTGGCTGATGGTGCAGGGTCCTAAAATACTCTTCATCCTTTAATCACCCAGGTGACAGGTCTGAGTAGCATCGTCCACCTTTCCTCTTGCAGGTTTGAAAATACTGATCCTTAGGGCTTGGATTTTTCCCTGGGAATGTGGTGCTTCACATAATAGTTGCTTTAATTTTTGGATCTACAGTTAATGCCAAAAAAAGGCAGAGTTGGTCCCTGTGGTTTCCTGGGCAGAGTGGCATCTCCTGGGTCTGTCTGCTCCCTGCCTCCCTTTCCCGGGGTGTCCTTAGGATTTTGCCTGTGTGAGGTTGTTTTTCCCTCTTAATTTTTGGAGTGTTGATCTCAGCAATCACCTGATCACTGCCTGCCCTTGCGTTATTTGTTTTGGTGTGAGGAAATTTTAATTAAAGGTCAGTTAATTCAGCAGAACCAAGAATTCCCAGCTGGTGTTTATTAGGATGGCTGGAGGCTGCTCAGCCTTCTCACCCTGCAGAATATCCTGACTCCATCTGCAAGTCCTCCACGATGAAAAAAGCTCATCCTGTGCTGTTGGAAGTGCTCAAACCAACTGTGCAAACGGCGTGAAAGATTCATGGGGTGTAAGCAGAGGAGGAAAATGTTTTCAAAGGCTCTGTTTGCTCTGTGTTTAACAGGATCATGCAGAGACTCGGGGCTGCTGTTTCTCAGAGTGAGGGAGGGAGTTATTTCTTTGCACAAGGGAGATGGAGTTGCTGGCTGGGGGCTGAGTACCCTGTGTTCCCCTTGGTGAGAATGGAGGATTTCACTTGGTTTTTTTTAAGGAGAAGAACCTCTACAATCCTATAATAAATTCACATTTCCCATTCCAGTTGCCTTGGATGGTGTCCTTTTTGACCACCTGCTTTCCACGTTGTCTCCACGAAGGGATAGTTTGTCTCCTGAGCATTTTATTTCCTCAAATCCATAGGAATAAACCTATAAAAATAATGATCAAACATTCAATGTGTTGCCACAGGAGTTAAATTGTTAAATACCTTTTGGAGTTTAATTTTTTTTTTCTTTTTCCTTCTGTCTGGCTTTGTTTCATGAGGACCCAACTTTTGCAGTAGTTTTGATGAGTCTCTGGAGACATTTTGAAATGTATATTATCAAATTCTCCACTTCGAGGTTAAATAGTGCTGGAAGCTGTAGATCACCCCATTTGGGACTTGTCTTTCAGACAACAGTTTTTCAATTATAAAATTCAAATCAGTCCATTTAGTTTAATGAACCTCTGGAAAATTTGTAGAGCAGGGGAGACAGTGGGCTTGAAGTAGAGTTCTCCTTGTCCCAGGGAGCTTCACAAAACGTTTTCATTGTGCTCTGTTGAAAATGGAGCTGCTTTTCAGGTCTCATGGGGTTGGAACAGCAGCTGGGAGGAGGAATATTGGCTGAACTGCTCCAGACTCCGGACTTTGATGATCTTTGTGGGTCCCTTCCAACTCAGGATATTCTGTGATTCTAGATAGGAGGTTTTTTTGGTTTGTTTTTTACACCCATAAAATTAAGGCTTAAGGGAGAAAAACCCAACCAACCAAACCCTGAATTTCAGAAAGGATCAGATTTTTGTTTCCTCACCGTTGCATTTTATTCTGATTAACTCAGGGCCTTAAATATTAGCAAGATGCCTCCAGTAAATGTTTTCAAAATGCACGTTTGATCTTAGGTGTTGCTTGATGTTTTCACTGCGAGGCTCAGTCCTTGAAATTATCAGTGTAGGATGTTCTGGTCCCCTCTACAGCTTTTTTTTTGGGGGGAAAATAGTAACAAATGAGTCCTACATTGCATTTGCCATATGTTATTTCTTGCAGAGCACTTAAATGCATCTTCCCACTTGTGGGAAGTCAACACTTGATCCTCCCAACAACTTGCACTTCAAAACTCTCTCACTGCAGCAATTCCTGTGGTGATTTGCAACTTGGCAGTGTGTGAGGAGCTCTGTGTTTACAGCAGCTTCTGCTGGGCAGGGAGATGTGGCCAGATGCTCCCTCAGCTCCTTTTTGTTCCCTTTCCCTCCATCCTCACCTTTATTCACCTGTTGTTCCCCGTCCCACGTGTGCTCTGTGGGTGACACCTCGGGGTGTCAGAGCACCAGCAACCTTATAAACGATCCCAAAGGCTCAAACCAACAGCAGATATTCTAATTGCTGCGTGGCCACAGCCCTCAGCAAGAGCAGTAACTGGATTCTAATGGGTTTCTTTTTGCTCTGCTCTTTTTTTTTCCCCTCCCCTTTTCAATATGAAGTCTCCGTGGCACGTTGCAGTTGTTTCCTGCAGAGAGGAGACTCGGCTTTCCAGACGTCCACAATGCTCTGCTGAAATGATTATTTGTTGCTTCTAGCCAACTGCTTTCTCTGTTTAACTTCACAAATCCTTTGTTGGTCGAAAATTGTCAAAAAGCCATGGTTTTGTTTTTTTTTTTTTTATCCTGTACCTTGTATTCTGGTTTGTGTTTTAGCTCCTCGGCAGGGTGTAAAATGGAAAATAACTAAAGTGAAAAAAAAACCCGAAATCAACTCTAATTTTCTTTTTTGAAGGGTAATTTTGATAAGCTTAATGCTGTACTGTTAATTTTATTGTGATGTGAGTCCCTCTGTGCTGGGCACTGGGGAGACCCCCCCCTGGAATCCTGGGGTCAGTTCTGGGCCCCTCAGACAGGAGAGACATGGAGGGGCTGGAGCGTGTACAGGGAAGGGAAGGGAGCTGGGAAGGGTCTGGAGAACTCCTGAGGGAGCTGGGGGGGCTCAACCTGGAGAAAAGGAGGCTCAGGGGGGACCTTCTGGCTCTGCAAGTCCCTGACAGGAGGGGGGAACCGGGAGGGGTCAGGCTCTGCTCCCAGGGAACAAGGGCCAGGAAGAGAGGGAACGGCCTCAAGCTGTGCCAGGGGAGGGTCAGGTTGGATATTAAGGAAAATTCCTTCCTGGAAAGGGCTGTCCAACCCTGGCACAGCTACCCAGGGCAGGAGTGGAGTCCCCATCCCTGGAAGTGTTCAAAAAACGAGTCGAGGTGGCACTTGAGGACATGGTTAATGGTGAACACGGTGCTGGTACTGGGTTGACATTTGGACTTGATCATAAAGGCCTTTCCCACCCTTAACAACTCTCTGATTCTATGAATAAAAATACATTAATTCATACAGGTGACCCAATATATTTTTCCCAATACTGCCAAAGAGCAGCATCTCTTTTTTTCTTTCCTTCTTTTTTCCCCCCTGTTGTTTCCAAACACTGAATATCCCTAGGAAGCAAAAAAACCGGTCGGAGAAAAAAGCCGGGGGGGTGTGTCGGGCTCTGCTCCGGGGAACAAGGGCCAGGAGGAGAGGGAACAGCCTCAAGTTGCACCAGAGAAGTTTTAAACTGAACATCAGAGAAAATTCCTTCCTGCAAAGGGCTGTCCAGCCCTGGCACAGGTTGGAGTCCCCATGCCTGGAGGGATTTCAAATCCCTGTGCATGAGGCACTTGGGGACATGGTCAGTGGTGGCCTTGGCACTGCTGGGAATGGTTGGACTCGATGATCTTCTGGGTCTTTTCCAACCTAAATGATTGTGTGATAAGTTGTGAGACATATTCAGGAGAACTTTTCTAATATTCCCCTGCAGTGCCCACCCAGCATTTGTCCCCTGCAGGTTTCCAAGGTGAACAAGAAGAATTATCCCTTCGTTGTCACCCAAACAGTAAAACATTGAAAACCTCACCCAGTTTCTTCAGAAAGGATGGATCATGGTGTATCCCTTAAACTTTGGGTTTTGCTCTTTGTGCTTCTGTTGAACAGATTTCTGGTGTTTTTGCTGAAGGAACAAGTCAGTCCATCAGTGAGTCCTTCATCTAAAGTAGCCTCAGCTTTCAGCACTTGATACCACAAACTGTTTGTGTGTTTTTTTACCTTCCAGGGGGTTTTAAAGTGAGGAACTGGGAGCCTTCCCGAGGGGTGTGATGGTGCAGAGCAGGAGGAACAGGTGGCAGGAAGTTTTCTGTGGATTGCTGTGAAATTTGGAGCTTTGATTTCCCTCAGGGATTCAGTTCAATTCCTCTTGACTGAAATGCTCATTTTCCTGATCAGATGAGAAATATTTAAATTTGATGATCGTGCCTGATTTTTTTTTTTTGGTGGTGTTTCCCACTGTCTTTAATGAGTATTTTCATCTGACTGAAGGCAATTGAATTGCACACTTAAAGAAACCAGATCCAGAAATAAAGGAGGACTATTCCCAGATTTCCAAGCTGCACTTGTGCATCATGTAATACTCTGTTTCTGCCTTTACCCATAAATATTTAGATGTGTCTGGTCTGATGTTGGGGAGCAGAAGAAAAGAGGCTCTTAGGGAGACACCCAGAAGCAGCAGGGACTTCAGCACACCTTTCCTGTGAGGATTATCTGCTGCAAACTTAGCATTAATTCTCTTAAACCTGTATTTGCATTTTGCACACAGTATCTGTTCAATAAAAAAGAATTAAAAAAAAAAAACCCACAGGAGCATAATGCCCACATACTGTTACTGCAACGTTCTTCCTGGGAAACAAATTTTCCAGTCTGAGAAATGGATAATTAAGGCTCCCTTTGCCAGGCAGAGCTTAGCAGTAATCACACTTAGCAGGGCTGGCCTAAGGGCAGGTACAATAGGCAGGCAGTTATCCACCCAGCCTGGCTGGAGGCATCACAGAAAGCAAATTTACAGAAATGAAACATTTATTATTCATTAATGTTAACAGTTTTCCTCTTAGAATTGACACTTAATCTAATTTCCTGGGCATTTTTGGCGGGCAGGTAGGAAGCCCTCAGCGGGCTGGGAAAAGAAGTTACTCATCTGCACTGGGAGACAGGGTAAAGGCCTTGATAATACAAAGTGGGGGGGGAAATGTGAGGCTCCTCAGTGTAAACACGGGTTCAGGGGGAATCTCAGATGTGATTCCTGCTGGAGGTGTGATTTTGAGGTTGATAATATTAAAGGTGGTCGTTGAGTTCCTTTTGCTGGAAAAACCGGGGGTGAGGGGGCAGCAAAATGCAGGATTTGATGGGGGGAAAAAACCCCTCTAAGTGAAGGAAGTGAAGGGATGGGATGAAACAGGAGGGGTGTGAAGTGCACCCCGAATTCAGGTTCAGAAAACTGAGCTTGGGTGTGCTGGGAGGGGATCCAGCACATTCCAAAACTAAAGGGGGATGGGCTGTGGGCAGGTGGAGCTTGGAAATTCATGGATTTGTTTGCCTGACCTGTGTTTGTTACTGGGCATGGCAGAATAAAAGAGAGGGGAAAACAGGACAAGGGGGTAGATTTAGCTTAGATGTTGGGAAGGAATTCCTGGATATGAGGGTGGGGAGGCCCTGGAATGGATTTCCCAGAGAAGCTGTGGCTGCCCCTGGATCCCTGGAAGTGTCCAAGGCCAGGTTGGAGCAACCTGGACTAGTGGAAGATGTCCCTGCCCATGGCAGGGGGTGGGAACTAAGTGATCTTTAAGGTCCCTTCCAACCCAAACCATTCCATGAAAATAAAGTTGCTTCTCCAGTGCTTCCCACTGAGGTGCATTAATAGGATGACTTCTGCTAAAATTTCCCTGTCAAACAGGAAAATATATCTGAAAAGGAGACCCATTCATGCATCCCTTTGAGAGGAAGATGAGCAGGTTCCTTTAGGAACTCAGATATTTCCATATTTGCTTTTTAAGTCTCTGTACATGAACAAAATAATCCCCTTTTGGGGTTCAGCAGCAGGTTCAGGACTTGCCAGCTTGAGCTCTTTGGGGCTGCCTGGAGAGCATGAAATGATGTCTCTTGCTGGCTTTGCAAAGGCTTTTCCTCCTGAGGGTCACAAAATGCCCCAGAAAAGGCATTTCTTGATATAACTACAAGGGCAGTTACTCATTTTTATGCCCAGTTTATTGGTGTGGGCACTGAGCAAAAAGCCTGTGGTGCACTTGGTTGGCATCAAAGCTCATTTTGTTGGGGAGGAGAAGCTCTGCTCATTTATGAGACGTGAGTGTTACACAGAATAAAGGTTTCTCTATATGTGCTATGTGTTCTGTGGGGCTGGGATCAATGATTTTAAATCCTGTTTTGGGGCAGGAGTGCATTTGAAGCTGGAAAATGGAATTTTAAGAAGGGAGGTGAGTTTGGCAGCTGATCATCTCCGAGTAGCAGCATTTCTGGGCTCCTGTAGTTCTGTTGTGCCACATGATGAGTTGGACAATGGTGTTTGTTTTCTTCTGCTGTTGAATAGCTTAGTAAACATCCCCTTCTTTGAGCTCACAACAATAAAAGAAATTTATTAGCCTGTCAATGAATTACAGCTTCTTTTGCGTCCTGATTTTTTTTCCCTGCGAGTTCACTTTTTCTCCCTTTCTTCCCCAAATTAAGGCATCACACTGGAGCAGTGAATTCACAGGGGAGGTGAGTTTGGCTGGCAGTTCTTCAGCCTGGGCAACCTGCAGGACTGGGGTAGGTCTGTGGAACACATGGACTTGTCAAGCCACAAATAAATAACAGATACTGTAGAGTGACAACAGCCTGTTGAGTAGTGCAGGGACTCTGCTGGTGTTGGTTGTTGCTGGGACCAGGTGAATTATGTTGGTTCACGGAGAAAAATTGATTTTTATCCCTCCTTGATGTGTTGTATTTTTGAAGCTCTGTGTGCACTTCTGTGGGGAACGGTAGCTCCAGTCTGGAGCATTTTATACCTTGTAAAAATGAGATGTTGTGGGACGTGTGGGATCACAGAAAGGGTTGGCTTGGAAAGGACAGGAAAGATCATCTTGTTCCACCCCCTGCCATGGGCAGGGACACCTTCCACTAGCCCAGGTTGCTCCAACCTGGCCTTGGACACTCCCAGGGATCCAGGGGCAGCCACAGCTTCTCTGGGAAATCCATTCCAGCCCCTCCCCACCCTCCCAGCCAGGAATTCCTTCCCAATATCCCACCTATCCCTGCCCTCTGGCACTGGGAAGCCATTCCCTGTGTCCTGTCCCTCCCTCCCTTGTCCCAAATCCCTCTCCAGCTCTCCTGGAGCCCCTTTAGGCCCTGCAAGGGGCTCTCAGCTCTCCCTGGAGCCTTCTATTCTCCAGGGGAACATTCCCAGCTCTCCCAGCCTGGCTCTTCCCTAAGGAGTGAATCCTTTTTACCTTTTCACAGCTCCAGCCTGTTCAGCTGCTTTAAGGCAACCCAAACTTCCTTTTGGGTCCTGGTTGTGCCAGTTTGTTCCTTCACCTGTGGTGCTGAGGCAGGAAAACTCTTTGGGAGCTTGGAGTTGGTTCAGTTTTCTGGGAAGGTGCTGCCTCTGGCAGAGGTGGCAGAGCTGGCAGGTCTGTTTGATCCAAGTGAATACATTTTCCTGTGTATTTACCCTGGGAAATGAGCTATTCCTGTCTTTGTGAACCGTTGCAGGAAGCAGTTTAAGGTTTTAGGTGTTTGCATAATGTTTCCAGGACTCCTGGAAAAGTCTTTCCACCTGCTCCCTCCGCTCCTCCAGTTGGCTGCTGGAAATGGGAGATGAAAAAATGCTTGTGCTCTCCAGATCAAATTCCACTGAAATGAATAGCCCCCAAAGGACTTTTTTTTTTATTAATCTAATTCCAGTGTAAATTCACTGACCTGGGGAAAATAACAAGGTTCATTTGTTTTCTCGTGTGGGACGTGCTGCACATCCCCTGATAAAAACACTGCAGGATTGTGTCTGATCGTCTCCTCTGTCCTGCCCTTCCATCTGTGGAAGTGACTCCTGTGATTTGAGCACTTTGCATTTGTGTAATCTGTATTTTTTTTTTTAACTGTGCAAAATCAAAAGTCAATGAGTTTTGGCTCAGTGAGTTCCTGGTTTGCCGCAGCATAAAAAACGTCTCGGAGCAGCCGAGCAGCCGGTCGGAATTATTCTAATCCTGTTGAGCTCCTGCTAATGAGACAAGGCATCTGCAGCCATCCAGCTGCCAGCTACAAATTCCAGGTATCTGACAGGGGAGGAGGATTCTCATTTGGAGAAAAGAAAAAAAAAAAAACCTGTAATGAAAAACAAAACAAGAAGTGAAACGATCGGGGATCCCTCCTGGAAACCAGAGTTCCCAACCTGCCTGGAAACTGCTTTTCCTCCTGAGCGTTTTTTTTTTTTTTAGGGAGTTCTAAAAAGCTCTGACCTCTGTTTATCACAATCTGTAATTCCCCCTTCAAAGTTCTTCCTGCAAAGTTCCCTTCCCAAACAGAATTTTGGATCCTTTCTGTTTGGCAAACAGCGTGTTGACTTTTCGTCTTCCTCGCTCCCCATTTTAATAGGACTAAAACAAGCAGAGATGCCCTTGGCTTCCTTTTCTGCAGTGTTGGCAGGAACGTGAATAATCTCAGGAATATTAAGTATTCCTTGCTTTGCTTTTGCTTTTTTTTTTTTTTATTTCAGCAGAGAAAGAAAAAGAAATGACTCCTGTACCACAGGGCTTGGGTAGGAAATTAAGTGTACGAGGTTGCAGATTCCAAGGGATTAATCCAGACTCCCAAATCCTAAAACCAAAACCTTATTGCTGAAACTTGCTGGGTTTTCAGTAAAATAAAAGAAAAAAAACACAGTCTTTGATGCTTTTCTCCTTTTAGGTCTTGGGTTTTGATTTCAGCTTTTCCATAAGGAAATAATCTGCAGGTATTTAAGGAAAACTCCTGTGGGTGGGAGGAGGAAAAGAACCGTATTAGGATTAAATTGTTGTTGTGTAGAATTATTTGTCCTTCTTGGTGTAGGAATTGATTCCTTCAATGTTTTAAACCACAACAGACCGAAGGACTGTAAATAAGAGGAAGTTTTCTGGTCAAAATACAAACATTGTGTTTTTAGTGCTGATTGTTTGCACAATATTTTCCCCAAACAGGTAATTAAAGCCAGCGAGACATTCCCAATGCAGGTGTTTATTCTGGGAAGATTTCCCAGCTGGTGCTTCTGACTGAGCCAGCTGGAAATCTTGGAATGTGGTGGTTGACTGAGCCTGAAACTTCCAGTGAGTTCCAGTGTTGCAGGTTGGGATCACAGGCTGGAAAAGCTTGGAAGGGGGTGTGTTAATGCTCTCCTGGGGGAGGGTGTCCCTGCAGTGGACAGAGCAGTGTTTTGGGGAAGTTTTGACTCTTCCCTTCTCCTCCTTCCTACTGCCTGGCAGCACCTGGAACTCTGGATCGTGGTTGCCTTGTCTTCTGGGTGCCAAAATATCCCAGAAAAGTGAAGGGAATATCCCATGTGTGTGTCGTGTTGGTGTGCACATGTACAGGAGTCGGGTGCCATCACCTCCAAAACATTCCTCAGCCCCATTACTGGAATATTCCTGAGGATGAGACCAGAGAAATGCTCTATCCAGGCAGATCAGTGGTTCCTCCAGCCTGGTAGTTTGTCTCCAGTTTGTCTCCTACAAAATCTGGGAGAGGGGATCCAGGCCTGGTGTCCAGTGCCTCTGTATTTCCCAGGTGCCTGCAGTGGTTGAGTTTGGGATGTCAGAGGATCCATCCCAGCCCTGTTCCATCCCTGGGAATACCTTAAATTCCTTTTCCTGAACCTGCTGATGGTGTTGAGCCTCAAATCCTGCAGCCCAGCCCAGGAGTTCACTCCCTCAGGTGTCAACACCTCCTCCTTTTCTGAGCCCACCCTTTGGCTTCAGCAGGTGCCCCTTGCCCTAGCAGAGCACGATTTGGGTGAAAAACTACTTCACTTTTAAATTATTCATCTGGTTTTTTCGCCCCTGCAGCCCTGTTGTGTCTCCTTTCAGAGAGTCTTGGTGTTCAAATATCTGAGGGAGCAGCTGCTTCATCCCCTCTCTTGGTTTAGTTGCCCTTTCAGGGATGAGAGAAGACAGAGCAGAACTGTGCATTGCCATTATATCATCCCAGTAGGAATTAGCTCGTGGGATCTCCAAGGATTTCTGATTTCCAGCTGCACTGGCTTTGTCCTTCTGCCCTGGGTGGTGGTTTCAAAGCTGCAGGGCCTGTTGTGACCCCCCCCCTCTCTGTCTCTCATTTCATAAACAGCTCTGCTTCCCTGGGCAAATGGCAAGTTTTAAAACACCGAGTGTTTTTAGCAAAATATATTTTTTTTCCCATAGAGGGCAAGTTAAATACAAATACAAGGACAAACCCAGGTGGGCAACACAGTAGGAATCTGCTTCAAATTGTTGGGAAGCCAGAGTTGGGTGGGAATTTGCTGGAACATTGGAAAAAAGGCTCGTGGCATCCTCTGTAACAAATCCCTGACACTGCAGAGGATTCTTTGGCAAATCAAGAGCTTTTTAAACTGAATTTTGTTTGATTAAAAGTAAAAACTTTTCTAGTCTGTGATAGGGACCAGTTGGGTTGTGCGTAGCAATCCAGGATTCTCCTGGAATCCATCCTGAGGGTGGATTTCTTTGAAAGTTGTGATTGCTGCATGATGTTCAAGCATATGGTTCAGAACAGTTTGCATGCAGTGATTTTACTTTTTTTTTTAATGGCTCTACTGTTGCTTATTTTCTCCTCATAGCTCCTTTATGATGATAAATTCTTTATTCAGAAATTGTCAGGAGAGCTCCAAATCCTCCCCTGCTGGTCCTTAAGGTCGTGACACCCCAGTGTTTAGGTCATAACCTCTATAACTGATCCCAAATGAGTCTTCCCCAGGAATTAGAGAGTTTTCAGTGTCTGTATTTGCTGATTTAAAGCAGAAACCCGTGTGGACCGTGGCTCCCCTTCTGAGGAGAAAGAGGAAAATTCAGGATCTGGTTTTTTTTCCACAAGCCATCTTTGAGTGCTGTAGGTGAAGATGTTTCTCCTGGGGCTTTCTGGTTGTGCCATGGGGACATTCCAGGTGTGGCCTCCTGGATCTGGTGGTGGGATTGGTCTTGAGGAGCCTGTGGGGTGAGGAGAGAGAGGGAAAAAGAGAAAATTGCATTGGTTCTTGAATAGAAATTTGGGGTGACTTAAGTCAAGAAGACTTAAAAGGGCAGTTTTGCCAAGTTTTGTTGGAATCTCAGACTTCACTGATTGAAGTAAGGAATCAAATTTAAAAATCTGATAAGATAATGTTACTCAGAGGTTAAAATCAATGAGGGGGGGAAATAAGGGCCCATCACACCTTCCACTAGCTCAGGTTGCTCCAAGCCCTGTCCAGCCTGGCCTTGGACACTTCCAGGGATCCAGGAGCAGCCACAGCTTCTCTGGGCAACCTGGGCCTCCCCACCCTCCCAGACAGCAATTCCTTCCCAATATCCCACCTATCCCTGCCCTCTGGCAGTGGGAAGCCATTCCCTGTGTCCTGTCCCTCCATCCCTTGTCCCCAGTCCCTCTCCAGCTCTCCTGGAGCCCCTTCAGTCCCTCCAAGGGGCTCTCAGCTCTCCCTGGAGCCTTCTCTTCTCCAGGGGAACATTCCCAGCTCTCCCAGCCTGGCTCCAGAGCAGAGGGAATCCAGCCCTTGGAGCAGCTCCGTGGCCTCCTCTGGGCTCTGTTCCAGCAGCCCAACATCTTTCCTGTACTGGTGTGTTTGAAAATGGGTGGATTACTGGAAAACAGGGATAGGCTTGCAATGGATTTCTGTGTCCCTGTGCTATCCCTTGTGTCCCCTGAGCAGGTGAGTTGTAGAAACTCCAACACTCCAACTAAACTCTGAGTCCAAAGTTAGAATTTGTTCCCTATAACTCATTTATAAATAATAGATCAGGAGATATTTCACATATTGCCCTGTGCCTGTATTAATGACTCTGTGGCAATATGGTAACTAATAGACAACTTTCCCTTTTCATAAATCCAGGAGCAGCAAAAAAAGCTCTGAGGAATCTGAAAACTGGCCGAGTAATAAACCACAATATTTATGTGTTTTATTTTCTTGCAGTAGGTTGGTCTCTCCTGACCCCCAGGCGAGCACATTTACCAGAATAAACACCACCAAACTTCATTACAAATGATGTAGCCTAAAACTTAGTTTGCTAGTGCTTTTTTACCAGTTTTCTATAATTTTTTTTTTTGTTCAGAATTTCAACAGACAGGGATTTTAATGAAGAGAAGGGTTTCTCTATTTGTGAACTGGATTGAAAGAGAGATGTGCCATCCCAAAAGAACTGGTCAAAGCCATCCAGAAGCCTTGAAATGAAAGAAAAATTACCTGAAATGAAAGTAAAATTTCAGTATAGAAAGGTAGAGAGCAGTTCCTTTAATTAAGGCCTTAAGGTGTGTGAAATACCCCCTGAATTGGGTGAGTGGTCTTACAAGACCTTTCCTTCCTCCAAACTTTGTCTTCCTCATGATGTTCTGTCCTACTTGGAACTATTTCAAGGATTTGGGGCCTTCTGAATAGTTTTGATTAAAGTTATATCAAACAATGTGCTGGTTATATCTTGGTTTTGGATGCTCTCTCCAGACTAAATGTTCTTTAGCTTGTTAAAAGTCTCCATCTATTGAAATCCTTGATGAGGAACATTAAACAATACTTCTGGAATTTAGTACAAGAGGTATTTTGTTGAGAGTTCTATCCTAAAAGTGCTAAAAATCTATAGATTCTAGAGCATCAGTTCCAGAGGGTGTAACAGTGTGTCAAAGGAGATGAGGAGAAGATGAAGGGAGTGGTCTTGGAGACGTCCAGCTCAAATGTGGGAGGTGTGTCA